CTCCTGGATCAGGCCATCTGCCAGCGTTTTGAGGTCCTTGGAGAAGCTGACTGCACTCAGACCCATTCTTTTCCTGAAACAGCAGCTGGCGTAGTGGTGCCTCCTGCTGGCAGCATTGGTCACTGCCCGAAATAGGGCCTGCAATGAGGACCCACCACAGGCCTGAGAGGGAGCGGTGGGTAAGAACTCAGGGAAGAGGTGGGGAGCCTAGGGAGGCCGAGAACGAAGAGAAGCGGCTTGCACCCAGTGGAGTTGTAGAGCTGGCCTGCCATGAGACGGGAGACGGGACAGATTGGGGGTGGGCAGGAGGGAGGCCAGAGGCAAAGGAAGACATAACCCCAAATGATACTTAGAGTCCCCCAGTTGTATCCTGCCCCACTGCGCCTAACCCAAACACAAACTCTTTGGCCCCCTTCTCCCAAATCCCAACTTCTCTTAGAGGGCCTTGGGGCTAAAGAGGTTAACAAGACTGCCAAGTGATCCCAGCAAGATAATTATGAGGTTTAGAATGTGGTGTGGGAGAGGACAGTAATTACAGAGACATCTTCTCTGGGGCTGCAGGATTTGTGGGCAGAGGACTGGAAGGGGTTGACTCCACTAACACACCACCCCCAGCCCAGAATAGCTTCCTCACTTCCCCAGAGGCACACATCAGGAGAGCATGAGAGCCGGGGAGTAAGCCTCTCCCCTCTGCGATGTCTCAAAGAGATGCAGCCCCTTCCCCCTTAGAAAGTCTGCAGTGTCAAAGAATGAGTCCACTGACTCTCAAAATAGAAACTTTAGGAGAAAAAAGGAAGAAGAGCTAGGATTAGGGATCCTCCCGGAGGAGGGGAGAAAAACAGCTACTCCTGGCTAAGCCCAGCCCTGATAGACAAGGCAGTCTGGGTGTGGAGGTGGCCATCGTGGTGAAGGTGCAGGGTGGCGGGAGTCTCTCCTTACAGGGTTCCCTTTCTGGCAGCAGCACTTCTCATCATGGTCCAGGCATCTCTGGCCTCAGACCCCAGTGACAGTCTTCAGGGAGCTGCAGCTCTTCCTGAGGAGGTAGCAGACCCTCCACCCAAGCACCTCTCTCTCTAGCAGGTCCTTAAACCTCATACCCTCCCCGGGAACACTGCCTCCTTCTCTCCTGGCAGCTCATACACTTCAAGCCTAAATGCTTCCCTTAGGCCCCTACCCACATTTGCTATGAACCAGTCAGGACCTTGAAGAAGGCGGGCCTGAAGGTTGCCTAGGTAACTCTGGGAGAGGAGCACCCTTGGCAGGAAGACAGTTGCCAGGGAGACTAGGACAGTGGGCGGGGCCCCAACCTTGGTTAGCGTGTACTAGGATAAGGAAAGATCTAATGTCCAGATCCCTCCAAACTTCATTTCTATAAAACTACCAGTGTCCCATTTTCAGGCCGTCTCGGGTAGCTGGAGTTCTGAAGCTCCTAAAAGAAACCTCCCAGGGGTTAGATCCAGCGGATCCCAACTGGACCAAACTTGAGGGAACTCAAGGAAAAAGGCAGGATCTAGGAGGCACTGGAGATAGGACAAGCCTTAATGCATTATGATATAGAACTTTTCGGACTAAAAGTCTCAAATGAAAATATACAACATAGGCAAAAATAAAACCCTTAAACCGTGGTTTTAGTACCACCTCCAAGGAGCTGATATTCCAGATTCTACCATCAGATGGCAGTCTTGTCCACTTATTGGATTAAGTCCAGTCTTGGAAACTGAGGAGGCTATTAGGAGATAGAAGTCCTTTCTGTCTAAAATGTTCCTGACTCCAGTTCCCTGTGTTTGTCAGATACCAGTAACCCCTCATATACACAGAAACACCATTTTCTTCCCCCCACCTAATTCTGATAAACTTCACTTAGCAGGGCTCATTCATTCTTTATTCAAAGCGGCTGAGGAATACTTTGGTGAAAAAGTTCTCGCTCTCTCTGGTCTCACAGGGTGAGGGTTGTAAGTTGGGATAGTAATAACTAATGCATTTAGAACAGTTTGTCAGACATTTAATCCTCATAACCTTATGAAATAGATACAATAGTGTTATCCTCGGCCAGGCACAGTGGCTCATGCCTGTAATCCCAGCACTTTGGGAGGCAAGGCAGGTGGATCACTTGAGGTCAGGAGTTCGAGAACAGCCTGGCCAACATGGTGAAACCCTGTCTCTGCTAAAAATACAAAAATTAGCCGGACATGGTGGCGCATGCCTGTAATCCCAGCTACTCGGGAGGCTGAGGATAGGAGAATCACTTGAACCTGGGAGGCAGAGGTTGCAGTGAGCCAAGATCTCGCCACTGCATGCCAGCCTGGGTGACAGAGCAAGACCCTGTCTGTCTGTCTGTCTGTCTCTCTCTCTCTCTCTCTCTCTCTCTCGATATATATATATATATATATATATATATATATATATATATATCCCCATCTTACAGGTGAGGGATCTGAGGTATAAAGAGGTTTAATAACTTGTCCAAGTTCACACAACCAGAAAAGGGAGAGAGCTGCGACTTGAGCCCAGCCAGCCTACTACTAGTCTAGAAGCTAAGCGATTCATCTCCATATCTCATAGAATGGTGCAGATGTATCTGGGAGAAGCAGCTGCTCTAGACCTGGAGTCAGGAAAGGATTCTTGGATGGCATCCATACTGAGGCCTGAAGAAAGAGTAAATCTGGCCAAGAGACTGGTGGGTGGGAAGGAGTGGAAGTAGTAGGGGAGTTGTTCTAGGAAGAAGAAACAACCTGTTCAAAGATTCAGAAATGATCAAGGGGACGAGGGTGGAACATGACATTCAGGCTTCTAGCCTGGATGACTGCCATTCACTAAAATGAAAAGCTGCAGGATGGGACACATTTTAGGGAGAAAGAAGGAGTTCTCTGTTTAACCTGTGATGTCTGAAGTGCCTTGAAACATCCAGATTAAGATAGGAGGCATCTGGCCTAGAGTTCTGGCTGATTCTGTTTGTTTATCTAGTGTTCTTTCTTTCTCTGTTTTTTTGTTTGTTTTTGTTTTAGGTGGAGTCTTGCTCTGCAGTCCAGGCTAGAGTGCAGTGGCACGATCTTGGCTCACTGCAACCTCTGCCTCCCAGGTTCAAGTAATTTTCCTGCCTCAGCCTCCTGAGAAGCTGGAACTACACCAGTTGGGATAGCCGAGCCACCGCACTAGGCTCAGTTTTGTATTTTCAGTAGAGACGGGATTTCACCATGTTGGCCAGGCTGGTTTTGAACTCCTGACCTCAGGTGATCTGCCTTTCTTGGCCTGCCACAGGCTGGGATTACAGGCCCGAGCCACCTCACTGGGCCCAAACATTTTCAATTTGCCTATTGCTCCAGGGCTTTCAGATCCAGAAATAAGCCTGGAAAACCTGAAGTCAGAAGTTAGGCACCTTCAAGACATTTTTTTTTTGAGATGGAGTTTTGCTGTTGTTACCCAGACTGGAGTGCAATGGCGCTATCTCGGCTCACCGCAACCTCTGCATCCTGGGTTCCAGCAATTCTGCCTCAGCCTCCCGAGTAGCTGGGACTACAGGCGCGCACCACCATTCCCAGCTAATTTTTTATATTTTTAGTAGAGACAGGTTTCACCTTGTTGACCAGGATGGTCTCAATCTCTTGACCTCGTGATCCACCTGCCTCGGCCTCCCAAAGTGCTGGGATTACAGACTTGAGCCACCGCGCCCGGCAAGACAGTTTTTTAAATTTTAGTACTCTTCTACTCTGCCCTCTGGCTGTGCCCAGATTCACACCTGAAGACTAGTGTTGGTCCCACATCTGCATTTCATCTCGTGCTTCTGAGTGCAGACTCCTCTCCCATCCTCACCCTTGCAACCTCCAGCCCCTTCTCAGACTTCTAAGACCCTGCAGATCCAAAAACATAGCTAGAAATCCAGAGATCCAGATAATTCTTCAAGTATAGCAGCCTCTAGCCGGCTCCTCCCACCCCTTCCCCAGTGGCCTCCAGCTCCTGCCTTTTCCACCCGGCTGATTCCCTTAGTCCTGTTAAGCTCCAATTTCAAGCTCACAGTCTTCCCAGCTCTATGTCTTCCCGTTTCAGTTCTTCACACCACCTCTCCACCTTCTTAGGTCGTCCCTGGCCTCTTCCTCTCTTAGTCCCCTTAATCCCCCTGATGAGCCTAGCCTGATGCTTCCTTCCATGGCTTCTTTGAGCATCTTTGAGCTACCTCTGGTAGCTAGAGCTCCTCTAGGCTCAAGTTCTCCACCTCTGTCCCCTGGGCTCTCTGTGCTCCCACCAAGGCTGACTCTGGTGCCTCCTTCTCTGAGGAGTTTCTGCCTTTCCTCCCCCTAACCCCCTACCAGTCCCCTGCACCTGCCTCCTCAGGGCCTCCCTTGGTATCTCCCTGTCTATGCCCCCTCTCCTCTCCTGTCCTGATTTCTCTCCACTGCCCCCTTCCCCGTCTTTCCCAGGGCACTGTTCTGTCCTGTCAGTTCCTCTGCTCTTGTTCCCATCTCCTGACCCTTAATCTTTGTGATCTGGCTCCGTAGACCCCTGTCTCCCCCTGTCTAGTGGTACTCCTCTGCTAACCATTTTTATCTCCACTCTAACTCTCCCACTAGCTGTCCCAGTCTTTCTCCTCCTTGGTTCTGTGTCTCCCACAGACACACTGTTTCCCTCCCTAGCTAGGTCTCTCTGCGTCTTTTCCATAACTCTTCTTTTCCTCCTTTGTCTCTCCCTCTCTCTCCTCCTCTTCCTATCTGTCTGTCTCTTTCCCCTTTATCTCTCTGATTCTCCTTGGTCTCTCTGGCTCTGACTTTCCCTCTATATCCGCCCCCCACCCCACCCCTCATATCTCTGTCTCTTCATCTCTCTTTGGCGCGCGCTCGCTCGCTCTCTCTCTCTCTCTCTCTCTCTATTCCTCCGCTCTCTCCGGCTCCCTCTCTCGCCTCGAATGACAGCGCTGCCTCTTTTGTTGGCTCCGCAGCCAATCGCGGCCGCTGACGACACGGGGGCCGGGGCTATAAAGGGCCTGGCCCGGACTCGGGCCCCCCCAGCCGCCCGCCCCGGCCGCCCGCCCGCCCCGCCCGCGCGCCCGCCGCCCCCGGCCCCCCGGGTCCCCCCTCGGCCGGGCAGCCCCCAATCCCGCGCCGCCCGGACCCCCTCCTCTTCCCTCCCTCCTCCCCCCGCCCCCTCCCCGCGGGACTCCGGCGTCCCCCCCCCCCAGTCCTCCCCTCCCCTCCAGCATGGTGCTCGCGGCCCCGCTGCTGCTGGGCTTCCTGCTCCTCGCCCTGGAGCTGCGGCCCCGGGGGGAGGCGGCCGAGGGCCCCGCGGCGGCGGCGGCGGCGGCGGCGGCGGCGGCGGCGGCGGCAGGGGTCGTGGGGGAGCGCTCCAGCCGGCCAGCCGCGTCCGTAGCGCCCGAGCCGGACGGCTGCCCCGTGTGCGTGTGGCGGCAGCACAGCCGCGAGCTGCGCCTGGAGAGCATCAAGTCGCAGATCTTGAGCAAACTGCGGCTCAAGGAGGCGCCCAACATCAGCCGCGAGGTGGTGAAGCAGCTGCTGCCCAAGGCGCCGCCGCTGCAGCAGATCCTGGACCTACACGACTTCCAGGGCGACGCGCTGCAGCCCGAGGACTTCCTGGAGGAGGACGAGTACCACGCCACTACCGAGACCATCATTAGCATGGCCCAGGAAAGTAAGTGGGCTGCGGGGCGCGAGCAGTGGGGTGCTGGCTCTGGCCCCCACGAAGGGCGCCTTCTGCTTCTAAGCGGGGCACTCCCTGCTGCCCCTGCCCGGAAGCTTTTTCTGCTAAAACTTGACGAATTAGGGAGCAGGGGCTACTCCATAGAAGTTTTTCGAGCAGTGGAGATGGGCTGCAAAGTTGTATGCACGCCCAGTTCCCGAAGGTTGGAGCGGGGGGGTAAATGGGGCGGGTTTCGAGATACTGCCTTCCACCCCAGTATGCGAAAAAGACCCTTGTTGGAGTCCGGGGACGCTGGGGCTGGGCAGCTAGTCTGTCCTGAAGAGCCGTGATGGGGAGGCTGGAGAACAGAATCCGGAGGCTTCGGGAACCCGGCAACCCCAGCTATGCTCTCTGCCTCCCAATGGCCCTGGCGCTGACTCCTCACTCCGTGCTCTGTCGGCATCGTGTCCATCGGGTGCAGAGAACTGTGTGCTCTGCTCTCTTCCTTTCCCAGGAATAGGGTCCCATAACCTTTACACCTCCTGGCAGCCCAGCTGGCACGCTTTTCATCCTGAGCCTTGTCTCATACCGGGTATCGCAAGGAGCCGGAAAAACTGTGCCTTATTGATACCGACCGAGCTCAGAGAACTCAACTCCATTGCGCTGGGGGCTAAGGACACTCATTGGCTACTCAAACCTTAGTGTTCCATCCCTTATTCGCCCACTCGTTCTGGACTTGAGCGATAGGAAGACCTAGGACTACCTATCTATAGGTAAGACTAGATAGGTAGTCCTAGGTCTTCCTATCTCTCAAGTCCTATCTAGTACTACCACAGCTGGACTTGAGAGATAGGAAGACCTAGGAAAAAAAGATAAAGAAATAGATGGGGGAGCGGGAACCCAGGCATCGGAGTCCCTGACCAAAAGGAAGATGAACATATAATAGACATGAGCTGCTTTGAAATTTTATGGCCTGGAAAATCCAAGGGAATACTACACCCCGCCACCTTTCCAGCTCTCCCTAGGGTCAGGTGACTCCTTCTTCTCCCCCACCCCACTGAGGTCTCCCCCTCCGCCCAACTCCAGGGAACCAGGCCTCTCTTATTCCCTAGCGGTTTGGCAAGGTCCCTCCCCACACACACACCCCCCACAGCCCCCTGCAACACACACACAGTTTGGTTTTATGACTGTGAACAGAAGACGGGGGAGACTGGTTTATTGGCAGATGGGTCATAAAAAGCTGGGGGCTGAGGGGCGTCCCAGTGGCCAACCCCCATGGAAGAGGCACAGGAACCCAGGTGTGCATCTGGGAGGCTGAGTGCCTCACATTGCCACTGGTATTTCTGCAGACCTCAATTCCACAGGACTTGGTCAAGGCTGTTAAATTCAAAGAACCAGGAAACTAACTGGGGGTGGGGGTGGGAGGCATGGGGCATCTGGTCTTGGATTCCTCAGTTTCCCTTCTATTCTTAAGGCTTCTGCTTATGGAAGCTAGGGTCAGTCTCAGATCGACTGAGGGCAGAGGGAGGGAGTGGTGTTTCTAGGAAACAGAGTTATAGAGGAATTCAGATCAAGAGTTTACTGGAAGAAGAAGGTTACATAGGGAAAAGATACTCTAGTCTATATGGTGTAGTGTGTGTGAAGATTTCCAGGATGGGTGATGGGGCTGTGGATTTCCCTTTGCCCCTAAATATCCTTAGCATCCCTTAACCAACAGGCCTGAGCCCACCAGAGTTAGCTCTGGTAATAGCAATACAGGGAAGTGAAGGGACCCTGCCTACAGGAGTTGGGCTGTGCAGGTGAGGCCTGGGTAGGTGGGGAGGGGACACCAGCTGGTGGAATCCCATCCTAACTTCCACTGCCGCCACCCAGGACTGGTACAATTAGGGAACTGTGTCTCCGGCCAGGTATTGTGCGTCCCCTTTAAGAGCCTAGCTGCACTCTTAAGAGAGGGAGGGGGAGTGGAGGGGAGGGGAGGGAGAGAGGGGAAAAGGAAAAAGAGACTTTTATAGTCTAATCCCCAGGGACCCGCTTTAATAAGAGACTTGTGCTCTGCTAATCGGGGGAGGTGTTTGTCAGCAGAGATGGCCTCCATTCCCTTCCCCCTCCCTCCCCTCCCCCAGCCCTCAACCCTGGACCCCAGCCCCCACCTCTCCTAGGCTGCTCTGCCTGCCCTAGTTCCCTCTACCCTCTCAGGCTCTCCCACCGAGGCTTCATCCTGGGAACCCAGCCCCCTGCCCTTCTGGGAACCAAGCCCAGCCCCTGAGTTTCTCTCTCATCCCCACACCAAGAGGCCCCTGCCCTCTCAGCCCAACCTCCTGCCCTTAGGCCTTCCAGCCAGGGTTGGGAGTGTGTGTGTTGGGGGGTTAGGGTGGGGGGAAGGGGAGGAGGTGGTGTGCAGGGAGGGGGTTGGGCATTTGCTGAAAATAGTGCAATGACCTCTCTCTCCCACCAGCGCCGCCTACTAAACCTGACCTGCTGCCTGCCACCAGCCAGATCAATTCAACACAGATGTGGCCCCTTTTCCTCCCCATCAGAGCTCGGCATATGTGTGTTGGGGACTCACTAAAGCCCGGTTTCCCTCTGTGGCTCTACCTGCTTCTCCTTTGTTCCTCCGTCCGTACCCTTTCTATCCTTTCTCTCCTTTACCCCACTAGGTTTAGCTTCCTCCCACCTTTAGCTTTCTACACGGCACCCACTCCTTTCTATCCCTGCCCCTTGCACCAGGATTCTACAACTCCCAAACTTATTCTCCCCTTGCCGTGATCATCCCCTGGGTCTTTCCACTCTGTCATCTATTTCTCTGCCTATCTCTACCAATCTGCCTTCAACTCTAACAGTCTCTTCTCTATTATCTCCCTCACCATCTCCAGTCTCCCCCCCTTGGCTCTTCTCCTTGCTTTTTTCTTTCTCCCTATGTCCTGCCCCCTTGTAGCACTGACTGTCCCCATGTCTACTGGGGGACAAGTATATAGAATCAAAGACTTAGATGTAGCCCTCATCTTCAAACCCTGGGTCAGCTTACGTAGGGGGAGGGTTATGTTTAGAGCTCAGTAGAGAATGCGAAAATAGTAGTAGCTTCTCAATAAATGTTGGTTTGTTCATTTTGTTTTCACATTCTCTAGTTAATGCTCAGCACTCATGTGAGGCAAGAATTATTACTATCTGTATCACACTGCGAAGTTTGGTAAGGTTAGATAGTGGTTAATAAGGAATTAGGCAGTGATTAAACCCACTTCAATTACAGCCAAAGAACAGAATTCAGTTGCCAGGAAGAACTTTCAGGCACTTGCCTGTATAATTTAAGATTGGGAGTTTAGGGAGTTCATTCAACATGTATTTATTGTCTGGCACTATGTGAGGCACTAAAGCTACAATGGTGAGCAAAACAGACACAGTATCAACAACACAGCGTGTACTCTCGTGGAGATCAGTACCTAATGGCAAGAAAATAGACAATTCCTATGGTGAAATTAGGTAGAGTATGCTACTTGTGATATTGCTTGTCACTCCCCATGTCACTAGTAGCTTCTCTACCCCAGCTACTTCTCATCTCTGAATTTTCACTCCCCAAACCCTACTCCATTGCACCATCACCGAAGCTCCAGCCAGTAGAACAACTGGGAGGACTACTACAGCCCTGGAACCTCAGAATAATCAAGGGGAAAAAAAGCTATTGAGGCTTTGAGTATCATATCCTGGATATATGAAGTTTATTCAGCACTTTCCTCCTCATCTCACTTAGAAGGTCCTCTCTCTCCCAGGGTAGGGGTGGGGAAGAGCTGACAGGACATCTTAAGTCTGTCCTGATTTTGCAGAACTCATAAGACATGGAGAGGATACTTAAAGGCCTAGACTTCCTGACCCTGCTTATATGGCTCTGGAAGCTCATTCCTGATTCTTCCTATCCAGAGTGAGGAGAGACATATTCTGTCCAATGGAGGCATGTTGTGGGGCACTTCCAACTGACACTGGAAAGGCAGTGAAGAGGAGCTAGAATGGAAGCAGAGGCAGATATTTATTGAGAATCATCCATTAGACCCAAGAAGGATCAATTTATGGTCCAGAGCAAGGGGAAATGGGTCAAAATGTAAAGTTGGGATGTTAAAACTTTGGCACTAGACTGAGAAACCAAAGGAAGCTCAGAGGAGAAAAAGGCATTATGGTTGATCTGGTGTGTTTCATATTATTTCTAGTGCTTTGGGCAAATAGGAGGCAACACCTTGGAGGTAATTATTCCTTTCCTCAAAACCTGGGGCAGTCATGGTGATGATGAAGCAGCAGCTGAAGAAACTTCTTAGGAGAGGCAATGGGGAGATAGATGTACAGGAAGTGCTTGGATGTTCTGCTGAGTGTTACTCCTAATGAGAGTGAGGCAAGAAGCCTAGATCTGATTTCTGGTTTACTTAATGGGATAAATTTAGCCCATGCTCCCTATCTGGACCCTGGGTTATCCCCTCTCTGAGGCTGTTTTCTGGGGTGGTGGGGGAGGGATGTGCCAGGCTCTACCTGCCCATCAGATAAATCAGAGCAGATAGGGGGCAAGGTTACCTAAGGCAGCAGGTGTGAAGCTATAAAGAGCTTCAAAAATTCAGAAAATGTTGGAGCCTTACATGCTGGTTAAAGTTGGGGGACAGTAAGGATGGTGGTAGATGAATAATTTTGCAGGTTATCTGGTAGACGGAAATCTATATATTCGGGCAAGTGGATTAGGAAATGAACACAGATCAGTAGGGCTTGATAGGGCCATCATCCTATAGAGGAAGTGCTGTTTTAGGTACCAGAGACATGGTATAAGAGGCATGAGAGAAGGGTAAAGAAGAATTGTAAAAGTCAGGCTGAGAAGTCCAAATTGCCAGTGTACCAGGACTACTGATCCCCTACACAAACACCCTGTGCTGATGCTGTGTCCTTCTCTCTTATCAGCGGACCCAGCAGTACAGACAGATGGCAGCCCTCTCTGCTGCCATTTTCACTTCAGCCCCAAGGTGATGTTCACAAAGGTACTGAAGGCCCAGCTGTGGGTGTACCTACGGCCTGTACCCCGCCCAGCCACAGTCTACCTGCAGATCTTGCGTCTAAAACCCCTAACTGGGGAAGGGACCGCAGGGGGAGGGGGCGGAAGCCGGCGTCACATCCGTATCCGCTCACTGAAGATAGAGCTGCACTCACGCTCAGGCCATTGGCAGAGCATCGACTTCAAGCAAGTGCTACACAGCTGGTTCCGCCAGCCACAGAGCAACTGGGGCATCGAGATCAACGCCTTTGATCCCAGTGGCACAGACCTGGCTGTCACCTCTCTGGGGCCGGGAGCTGAGGGGCTGGTGAGCAGGGGACCTGAGGTGGTGGATATATGTAACCTGGCCCTGAGGAGATGGGGGTACGTTCGAAAAGGGAGACAAGGAATGTGGAGGAGGTTGGGGACTAGCATTACTTCTCTGGGGTCAGCAGCTGATTCTAGAGATGTAGTTGAGGAGTGGGGTGGCAACTATTACTTTTCAAGGATCCAAACCAGACAACAGCTGAAAACTGGATTTGAAGGTGAAGGTGTCAGTTAATGGAAGGGCTGTAAGAACACAAAACCTGGTTGTTGGACCAAGGGGTTGATGGGGGTCAGGTTGCCAGAAGAGGAAGAATTAGAGATGGTGAGTTGAAGCAGAGCTAGCCAGCTGGCAAGAAAAGTAGGCAGAAGACAATTTCTGGGGTTGGGAGCTATGGAAAAGCTGAGAAGTCATCGGTCTCTATTCTGATGCCACTGGCAGGTGGGAAAGGAACAGGGAAGAGGAACTGTTCAGGGCCATATCACATTTCTTTCCCCTCTCCCTGACCCTCAGCATCCTTTCATGGAGCTTCGAGTCCTAGAGAACACAAAACGTTCCCGACGGAACCTGGGTCTGGACTGCGACGAGCACTCAAGTGAGTCCCGCTGCTGCCGATATCCCCTCACAGTGGACTTTGAGGCTTTCGGCTGGGACTGGATCATCGCACCTAAGCGCTACAAAGCCAACTACTGCTCCGGCCAGTGCGAGTACATGTTCATGCAAAAATATCCACATACCCACTTGGTGCAACAGGCCAATCCAAGAGGCTCTGCTGGGCCTTGTTGTACCCCCACCAAGATGTCCCCAATCAACATGCTCTACTTCAATGACAAGCAGCAGATTATCTACGGCAAGATCCCTGGCATGGTGGTGGATCGCTGTGGCTGCTCTTAAGGTGGGGGATAAAGGATGCCTCCCCACAGACCCTACCCCAAGACCCCAGCCCTGTCCCCATCCGCCCCAAGCCCTAGAGTTCCCTCCACTCTTCCCGTGAACATCACACCTTGTTCCCTGACCAAGCAGTGTGCAATACAACAGAGAGAGGCAGGTGGGAATTGAGGGGTGAGGGGTTTGGGGGAAAGGGGAAGGAGGGGCATAGTCAGGGTGGGAGTGTTTGAAGTTTGCAAATGAGAAGGTTTGACCAGAAGACAGAGAGATGTAGAGACAGAGGGATAGAGACAGAGGAGCAAAAAGAGCAGCAGTGAGAAGGCAAAGAGAGAGAGAAGAGACAGACTAGGCAGAGACAAAACACTGAGAGAGACTGAAATGGAGTAATAAATGAAAGCCCCACACCAAGCCTCCTTTCTTCCACTGGCAAGGTGAAGGGCTTGGTATAGTTTGGGGAGATTCCCTGACTACTCGTAGGAGAAGAAATCAAAAATCCATTCTTTCTTCCTTCTCTTCCTCCAACAGTGGCCAGAGGAAGGGAAGTAAGGGCAGGGGCAAAAGGATTTGGGAATTTTTATTTATTTATTTATTGTGACTTTTCATTTTTTTTGGTATTTGGCTTTACTGGAATAGGAGGGCCCCTGCCCACTGTGCCCCATTTATCCCTTATTCCCCAAACCTTGCACTCCCCAACACCTGCCCACTTAAGCACTTGTATAAAGCCTCCAGGGTTGGGAATGGGAGTAAAGGGCAAGAGGGCTGACACATGGAAGTTTCTAACCCATAATCACCCTAACTCAAACCTTTTCTGAGCCAAATGAGTTGAATTGAAGCCACTTGTCATGGAAATAGTAAGAGGTTAGGGTTGAAGAGCTGGGGATGCAGGATGGGAGAGAACCCTCAACATCCAGGATCTATATGAGAGCTACTTTAAACCCCAAGGCCTACCCTCATGATACTGAGTTATTTAGCCAGAGGGTACAGCCTGTTTATGCCCAAATTCCCTCAGCCAAGAGAGAGACCAAAGAGCCTCTGGAATGGCCCTGCTCCCAGCCTCTATCTTCAGGTCAGTAAGAAAGTATAGAGACCCCAGAGTCCCCTGGGTATGGGAAGCGATAGGAGGGGTCAAGAAAGGAGCAGTAAGGAGGCTGAAGGTTACAGGGCATTTGAATCCAAATCACTGCTCTGGGCTAGGGAATAGAGCCAGCAGACCAAGGTGGGAGGGATTCTGGAAGGGGGACATTTTCGTCCCCTAATCCCAAAGCTCAGGGTGGAAGAAGGAAGAACAAGGAAGCAGAGCGTATAATTATTTTTTCCTTTTATTTTTGGAATCTAACAGTACCTGGCAGCAGGGAGGGGAAAGTACAGTGGGGAAAAGCATCTGACAAGGCCAGTTAGAACAGAGGATGGGACGGATGGGAGACTCTTGGGTTTGGAAGGCTAGGAAGCAGGCAGAGACTGGTTGCCATTTCAAGTCACTAGCTAGGGCCATTCATTCCTTTCACAATCCTGACCCATTCTCCTCTGGACTCACTGTGCCTCAGTTTCTTCCCCTCAATGGAATGAGAAATAGCAGCACCCGCCACAGCCAAGAGATGAATTCTGAGCACTTACCACGGGCACTTTATGGACATAAAATACCTCTCGCTGTGGGACAGATAACCAGGGCACCAGAGTAGTGGTGAAGAGATGTGAGGCTTAAGAGGAGTCACAGGCTTCAGAGTACAAGTTCCCCTCTGCCTCCCAGCTGGACAGTGCCTAGAAGCCAAGGAGTTGAGAATCTCCTGATCCACACCCTACCCTTACTTTCCCACCAGGCCTCTTGGCTCCAGGCAAGAGCTTAGAGGATGTCAGGAGAGGTGGGGGTAAGAACCTTCAGCAAAACTGTCACTCTAAGTAAAGCCAGCAGTTACGGGTCTGATAAAAACAGTACTGAACTAAAGTAAAGCCCAAGCTGGTGAGCAAACCTGGATGGCTCATTCTTCCCAAGAGCATGACTCTCCCCCTTGGCCAGTTGGTGGAAGGGGCAAAGGTACGTCACCACCCTTGAGAAGGTGATGTTGGTGAGCTTTAACATCTTACTCCTATTCTTATATTGAGAACGTGAAACAAGATGTTTCAATAGAGGAATGGGCAGGGACTGTTAGGCTTTTCAGCTTGCCTTCTCCCATGTAGCAGCTATGATAACCCCAAGCCTCTCTGGCCGTTCTTCATCCTTCTGCCCGAATTCTGGAGAACAAGACACACTGGCCATCAACACCACTCACATTTTCTTGGTGGAAGGAAAGGAACAGAGAAGAACAGATGATATCTCCCTCCAAGGTCAAATGCCTTGTGATCTTGGCACAGAGTAGCAGTTGGGCAATAAGCATCAGGTATCTTCCCTCTACAGATTCTAGAGAACTGGGGCATTAAATATGGGGGACACTTAGAATACTGCCCCATTAATACCACCAAATAAAGACCTTTGTGTGTGTGTCGGGGGGGGGTCTTTCTCTTATGAACATAAATCTGTGAGCTAAAGTCTCATTCCCCTGTTCCTCCCTACCCCCAAAGAGGCATGGAGTCTAGGGGTGTGGGGGGCACAGCTCAGCAACCCAGTGGGAGTTAGCACCCCCTCCCACCTTATGATGTGTGTAGACTTGGCCAGTGCCCCTCTGAACATATAATTGTTAGTGTAATTATCATTTACTTTGTGTATTTGTTACATTGTGTGTGTGACAGCCTTTGTTAAAGGTGTCTGAGTAGTATGAAGCTGACGGGCATTGGAATGCCGGGAAAGAACTTCTTCAATTGAGATCAAGGCTTCCTGGAGGGAACCACTGCAAAAAGGCCATCAGGCAGTTTTCAAGTTATGTGACAGAGGGCAAAGATGGCCATAGGGTGCTCTGAGTTTTGGGATGGTCACATGACAAAATCCAGCACTTGAACCTGAAAAAAAAAATAAAAGTGGTCAAAGAGTTTAGAATTCAGTGCTGAGCTCTTCTCCCTAATCATGTGCCATATTTACACCCTGGAGACTAGAAGGTGAAGAGGATCTGAGATAGGAAACCTTGTATTCAATGACTAAGAAGAAGGGCATGGTGGTATGAGGTTTGGGACATGCAGGCCAAGGAAGGATGGGCAGAGGACAGGAAAGTGGGGGCACTTAGGACAACCCCTCTCTAAAAAGCTTGAGCCAAAACAGTCCCAAAGTTTACAAAAACCCTCTTCCAGCCTCCACAGAATGGAAGATCTAAAGGTTCTCTTGAGATGACCCAGCTAGTGTCTGTCCTATTCTCCTACAGTACCTGTTCCTAGGTTTCCTCAACAAAGTTTGACCAAAATCTGTAAAGCAACAGTCATCCAACTTGCGTTGTTACACAAGAGTGGCTAAAATAGCATCTCCAATATTCTTTCAGTTCACTGTGAAAATTTTTCCCTTGTACCTAGAGCATACTTCCCAGGGCATATGAGTTGGGAATGGCAAAAAATATTGCCTGACTCACATTTCTAAAAAATAAGGAAAGCAGGGCTCACTGGTGTGCTCCTGTAGTTCCAGCTACTCAGGAGGCTGTGGCAGGAGGACCACTTGAGACCAGAGGGTCAAGGCTGCAGTGTGCTATGATTGGGCCTGTAAATTGCCACTGTATTCCCAGTTGAGCAACATAGTAAGACCTTGTCTCTTAAAAAAATATAGTAAAAATAAGGAAAGCTCCTGTGACATCAACCTGATCCAGAACTGGGGACAGGGCTACTGAGGGTTCAACATACTGCTCTGCTTTCCCTGTCCTGTCAGTTCTATGAGCACATTGACCCCTCCCAAGACCAACTACAAGACTGAGGCTGGAACTGGTTGAGTAGCAGAAGTGTTATGTATTCTATCTTCCCAAGGGAACTACATCCATAACTACCCCTAACTTTAGCCTGAGCTGAAAATGGGTTTTCTCTCCCTACTGTTCATTTGTATCCTGTGTTGAGAGAACACCCAAAAAAGACTACTCAAGATGATTTTTTACAAGTCTTCTTTATCCTAAAACATCCTCCAACGAAGTACATGAGAAGTTATCCTATACTCTGCCCTTGCCTATATTTTAAATGGCAGGGGCCCCAAGCTAAGAATCAGCAGGCAGTGGCATTTATAGCTTCTGGTCAGTAGTGGGGTAAAAGCAGGAAAGTCAATGTTCCAGGCAACAATGTCAGCTTTCCTGCAGGTGAGCTGGGATTGAGGGAGCAAATGGGACTCTGCTTTTTCTTTTTCTCCAAATACAATTACATAATTGGGTGTATGCACATACACCATGTTCAAACTAGGGCACTCACACCCCCTACCCAAGCTAGAACCTACTCAGATAAAGAAACATGTATTTCCACTGTACCCTGATCACCTAGTAAGATTCAGAGCTAATGCTTATTGAATGATTACTATGCAAATTATGGTAAACAAATTATAGTGTGAATACATGGTATGAGAATATCACATAATTCACATAGCAGATAAAGAGAATGATTATCTGCCCAGGGTCTCGGAGCTAGTGTGGTAGAATAAGAAATTAAACCTAAATAGTTGTTAAACAATATGACACTCCTTTGTTGTTGTTGTTCTTTTTGAGGCAGAGTTTCGCTCTCGTTGCCCAGGCTGGAGTGCAATGCAATCTCGGCTCACTGCAACCTCTGCCTCCCAGGTTCAAGCGATTCTCCTGCCTCAGCCTCCTGAGTAGCCAGGATTACTGGCATGCACCACCACACCTGGCTAATTTTGTATTTTTAGTAGAGACAGGGTTTCTCCATTTGGTCAGGCTGGTCTCCTCCCAACCTGAGGTGATCCACCCGCCTCAGCCTCCCAACGTGCTGGGATTACAGGCGTCAGCCACTGTGCCCGGCTAAACAATATTACATTCTAAATCGATCCTATTAAAAGTGATCCGAGAGGTAGAAACCTAAATACAGGAACAACATAGGGGAAAGAGATAACAAGAAAGTTGGGAACACCTTGGCCTCAAAGAATCTGCAAAGATGTGAAACTGGAATTTTCAATCCCTTTGGAGGGAAAAACAAGAAAAGCCTGGGTATGGCAAGAGAAGGGGAGGTTAAATTTTGGGGGGATTCCAATAATCAGAAATAACTGGCATTGCCAGAGGCCCTCCGTATAAGAGAACAGGAAAAAAGTTATCCTCCCTTAAGTTCCTCTCTCACTCCTCATGTCAGACACAGCAAGAGGACTCAAAACCAAGAAGTCCTGCCCTTATTCACATCTTCCTTCCTATAGCCCTCATCCCCACAAAATCTTCTAGCCTCTATCTTCAGCAGTTCTTAAGGGATGGGGTGGGGGGGGCTGGGCAGTTTAGAAAGTGGGGAAAAAAAAGAGAATAATCCTAGAGAACCATAAAAAGGTACAGATTTACAGCTTAGGAAGCTAGTTCTCCCCATAGCTTTTATAGACTCCCTCATTAAGAGCTTTTAGGTATGCAGAGAATGTCACAGCTTCAGGAATTGGAATCAGTTAACCACATCTGGATATGGATAAGCTATAGTAGGGAAACTAGGGGATAGGAAGGAAGAGTACTAAGATCTCAGGTAAAGAATTACAAGCCTCGATGTCTGTTCCTTCTCCAAATGGAATTACTATTTTAAAACCGAATTAGGAAAAAGGTAACCTAAATAAAAGAGTAATTGGAGAATACTATAATGAGATAGGATGGGGAGGATTTGGTGATCTGGCTTGGAGGTTAGAGACTTCTGACTAACCTCCAGTACAAATAGCTGCTGTAATGGGATGAAAAAGGTTAGTAAGAAAAAAAATCCCCACAAATTTAAAAACACTGTTCAAAGATCTGGAGAAAGTAAGATGAGTGAGGAGAATAATTAGGCTTCAAGAAGAGAATCCTGGAAAGTAAGGCTGAATACCTTTCTGGAACGTTACAGAGGATAAAGACACAAAGTGAAGAAAACTTCCGAAGGATCCACTGCTCCAGTTACGAATCAGCATCTGCTCTATTCTTTTACCTATTTTTCTCTTTGTAAAACCATACTAGGGTAGAAACCATAATAGAATCTATAATCTCTCAAATTACAAATCATATATATTCTCTCTACTTCTGTTTTCAGATGAAGACAGACTAGAGAGAGGAAAGGGAGCCTCAAAATAAGAGCCTGAGGTAAGGAAAAGAGAGGCAGACAGAAAAGAAGGAAAGAGGGAAGGTCATTCCAACTGAAAGGTTTATTTGGTTGAGTAAGTGTCAAAAATTTAACCAGCATTCCCATTTGTTTACTTCTCCAAAGTCTCAGAATGGGGCAAACTTCACAACAAATGGGCAGTAGTTTTTGGATCTGCTCTCCAAGGCACAGTTTTCCTAAAGTATCTAAACTTTAGGTCCCTGCCTTCCTCACCAACCAGAGGCTCTGGAGAAATAAAGAGATTCTTGATGTTAGAAAGATGATCGAACCATTACCATTTCATTAAGCACAAAACCAGGCAGGTTTTAGTAGAAATAAGGATAAAGGATTACACCACAGCAACATGGGATCAGATCATAGTACCAAAGTTTTCACGGGAGGCGCCACGTTCCTAAGCCTTACTACCAAAAATAGCCCAAACAAAAACCAAGCTTATATAAAGATTTAAGAGGAGAAACTCTGTACTATACTAACACATCCAAAAAGATTAAATCGTAGGTTTCAGATCTACATGAACTTGAAGCCTCCAGTTCCACTGCTTATGTTCCCAATGATTTATGTAATAATGCTTAACAGTGCTGACATCCTCTGTCATGCTTTGATTCCCTATACAAAATTTCTTCTATCTCTGAGGGATATCCAGCCCATCTCCCTTCCTAAACTGACTAACCAACAAGGTCCCACATATCGGTTTTGGCTGAAACCATACAGTATCGTATCAGGCCACCCTTGAAAATAGGGCCTTTTTCCTTTAATTTGGGACCCTGGGCTCTATTTTATCCAAGAAAAAGCCTGCATTATTAGCTCATAACAAAAGGCTACTAATCATTGTCCTTGTATTTATATCCTCTGCACCACCTAAAACCTCCCTTATTTTATTTCAGTGGGTCACTACAAGCTGCTGGAGTAAAGACTTGGTGGGTGGGTAACTTAACCTCTTCATAGAGGATAAAAAATGCTTGTGAGTATAAGAGAAGGGAATAAATAGGCTTAAAGGGTAAACTCGATCCTTTTTCTTGTCTTCTCTTCTAAGGGATAAAAGTGTTATGGCCAGGCCGGGCGTGGTGGCTCACGCCTGTAATCCAAGCACTTTGGAGGCCAAGGCAGGCGGATCACCTGAGGTCGGGAGTTCAAGAGCCTGACCAACATGGTGAAACCCCGTCTTTATTAAAAAAAAAAAAAAAAAGTGTTATGGTCAATTGTCTATACTATTTGCCCCTGAAGCTCCCCTTATCTGGTCTATTCTGGCTCCAATAAATCAAAGGAGCACCTAATAAAACACACTGTTCTCTTTCTATTTTTTTTTTTTATTAACAAGCAACATAATCAAAAACAGAAACACAACAACCTTAAAGCTGAAACAGCAATAAGTCAAACTGCTGCTGCAGTTCACGGATGTACCTGGGGTACATGCTCCCTCATTGCGAGGCAGGATGTAGGCACATGACTGTGCATTTAGGTATATATGTGACCAAGAAGAATCAGAGAAATGGAAAACACTGGAGAACAGAAAGTAACAAGAACTTTTCATCAGGCAATCCCAAAGCGCTCTGCTCTTTTCCTCTTCTTTGCCTGTAAAGAAGAAGCAAGAAGAAAAAAATTAGATTGAAGACAATAGTTGCCAGGGTTCCTGGCTGCTTTAATCCAAACTCACATGAACTGTCACAAGGCCCAAGAAAGAAGGATGGCCCAGACTCGAGCTTGGCAGCAAGAGATTTCATTCCTCAATCTCTGCAATCTTTCCAATTATCCAGTTAGAGTTGGCAAAGTTTAGTGGGTAAGGAGAGTGAGAAGGAAAAAAAATTACTGGGGGCAAGGGACAGAGAGAAGAACAGTGGTAGAAAATGGGGAAATTCCTGAAGGAGAGAAGGCCACCCAGCCTGAGATCAAGCCAGCCTGGAAACAATGGGCTCTTAACAGGCTGGGGAAAGTCTTCCAGTCAATGGGGAGATGGAAGATTACAGAGGAAAATGAATTAACCAATGCTATTCACAGAGGTGAAGGAGATGCCCTTCTGAGCAGTCAGGTCCAGGCAGTAGCTATTCGTTAGGCCTCCAGAAAGGCATATAAATCTTTGATGCCAACAGTACGAATAGGCAGTGAGTGGTGTGTGGGTGAGTCCCTATCATAGAGCTCGTAAAAGAGGCAGCAACACTGGAAAGGACACAAAATGGTTAGGGAAGACTTTTGGTTCGGGAAGTGACTCACAGAATGGCACACAGTCCTTCATGTGCACTCCCAACCACTGGCCCTACCAGAATACAAACTCCTCTCGCTTTTTCCTAGTTAAAAGTTAGCTGATTTAACTCTAAACTTTTCAGGGGTTTAATTTATAAGACTGATTCTGATACTTACTCATAAAGAAGCTTTTCATAAAGCATCATCCTGTTGGTACTGTCCTCAAGACAGTTCTTGCAAGATATGGCTGTTTAAAAGTATGTGGCACCTCCCCCTCTCTCTTGGTCCCGCTCTGGCCAAGTGATGTGCCTGCCCCCGCCTTGGCCTTCTACCATGATTGTAAGCTTCCCGAGGCCTCCTCAGAAGCCAAGCAGATGCCAGCACCATGCTTCCCATAAAGCCTGTGGAATTGTGAGCCAATTACACCTCTTGTCTTCTTAAGTTACCCAGTCTCATGTATTTCTCCTTTATAGCAATGCAAGAACACCCTAATAATATACTTTTTTTTTTTTTTTTTTTTTGAGACAGTCTTGTTCTGTCACCCAGGCTTGAGTTGCAGTGGCGCAATTTGAGCTCACTGCAACCTCCACCTCAGCCTCTGGAGTAGCTGGGACTACAGCACCACATCTGGCTAAATTTTTTTTTAATTTTTAGTAGCGATGAGGTCTTGCTATGTTGTCCAGGCCACTCTCCAACTCTTGCCCTCAAGTGATCCTCCCACACTGTCCTCCTTAAGTGCTGGGATTCTTTCATTTTGAGAAATTATTTGCAGCCAGGCATGGTGGCTCATGCCTGTAATCCCAGCACTTTGGCAGGTGGATCACAAGGTCAAGAGATCCTGGCCAACATGATGAAACCTGGTCTCTATTAAAAATACAAAAATTAGCTGGGTGTGATAGCACACACCTGTAATCCCAGCTACTCAGGAGGCTGAGGCAGGAGAATCACTTGAACCCGTGAGGCAGAGGCTGCAGTGAGCCGAGATTGTGCCACTGCACTCCAGCCTGGAGACAAAGTGAGACTCCATCTCAAAAAAGACAAAAACAACAAAAAAACCCCACCTATTTGTAAATAAAGTGACAGGAAGAGGAAGTCTGATTTGAGTCCATTGTCCTTTTCCAGAAGGGAGTTAGGTACAATCAATACTTATTAAATACTTTAAAACTATCCCTTTTTATACAGAATCACTTTATTATTTAAATATCATGTTGAGGTAGGCATATTATCTCTACTTTTCAGATGATGAAACTGAAGCTCAGGAAGTACTATAACTTATTAATACTAAGTGGCAGAGCCTTTTTCTTTGAGACAGGGTCTCACTCTCTTGTGCAGGCCACAGTGCAGTGATGCCATCTCAGCTCACTGTAGCCTTGACCTCCTACCTCCTCGGCTTAAGTGATCCAACCTATCTCAGCCTCCTGAGTAGTTGGGACTACAGGTGTGTGCCACCACGTCTGGCCAATTTTTATATTTTTAGTAGAGTCAGGGTTTCTCCATGTTTCTCAGGCTGGTCTTGAACTCTGGGGCTCAAGAGATCTGTCTACCTCAGCCTCCCAAAGTGCTAGGATTACAGGCATGAGTCACACCTGGCCCAGAACCACTTTTTTTAAAATCCAAGGCCTGATTCAAAACCTTATACTCTTTACCATTAGTCTAATAGACTCTTAACACTGAATTAAGTATATTGACAGAATTCAGTGTTGCCACTTCATCCAGGAAAAAAAGTTATCAAGCAAAAGGCAAAATATTTGGGCACTTAAGAATTAGGTGGGTGGCCAGGGGAGGATTGTTTGCGCCCAGGAGTTTGAGACCAGCCTGGGCAACAGAATGAGACCCCATCTCTACAAAGTGTTTCTCCACTCTCACTTCCTGGGCAACAGAAACCCCATCTCTACTAAATAAATAAGTAGGTGAGGAAACAGCATTTCTCCATTCAGTTCATTCACTCTCATTTCCCTCAAGGTCTATGAAGCATTCCAGGTATATTTTTACCTCTGTATCCTCTGTGGTTCCACTTCCAGCTGAACTTGTGACAATCCCAAATCGTTCCTTCCTCTTTTTCAGTTTCTCATCATCTTCAGACTATTCAGGAACAAACAAAAGAGCTGAAACAAATTAGCCTCCATTCACCAAGTAAATGGGAATGAAATAACTTATTGGTTACAATGTGCTAACCAACCTTGTGACAAGAACTAATGATCACATAAAGAGATAAGATACAGGCTGGGCATGGTGGCTCACAACTGTAATCCCAGCACTTTGGGAGGCCAAGACAGGTGGATCATCTGAGGTTGAGGGTTCAAGACCAGCCTGAGCCAACATGGAGAAACCTCGTCTCTATTAAAAACAGAAAATTAGCCGGACATGGTGGCACATGCCTGCAATCCCAGCTACTCGGGAAGCTGAGGCAAGAAAATGGAGGTTGCAGTGAGCTAAACTACACCACTGCACCCCAGCCTGCGTGATGGAGCAAGACTCTGTCTCCACACCCACCTGCTCCAAAAAAAAAGAGTTCAAACAACTTTTTTTTTTTTTTAAGACAGAGTCTTACTTCATCACCCAGGCTGGAGTTGAGTGACACAATCTCAGCTCACTGGAACCTGCACCTCCCGAGTAGCTGGGAATATAGGCGCGCATCACCACACCTGGCTAATTTTTGTATTTTTAGTGGAGATGGGGTTTCACCATGTTGGCCAGGCTGGTCTCAAACTCCAGACCTCAAGTGATCTGCCCGTATCGGCCTCCCAAAGTGCTAGGATTAGAGGCATGAGCCACCGTGCCTGATTAAACAGACTTTTAAAGAATGTCTGTGTGGTGCTTACGGGCTGGATTTATTTTTAAATCTCAAGGAAATTATATTCCTACAATGTATAGGCAGGCTGTGTCTCTAGGTGTCCCAAAACCATGCGGTCAAAAGCAAAGGCAATCAAAAGACGTACAGAAACACAGGAATTTTTCAATGCCTCTACTCTCAACCCCAACCAAGGAGTTGCCTTTGTCCCTGTGGCCACAGCAGCCACCTGTACAAATCAAAAGCAGGGCAGCTATCCAGCTTTCTGTGCTCAATTTGTTTAACTAGTCCAGGTGTATGAACACAGCAGGCAGGAGTACTGTCTTGGTTTTTCTGTAACTCTTTTAGTTTGAGAAAGATGTTCATGTTCTCCCTTTTGCTGCACCTGCTTTCTAGTGAGTAGCAAGGAACCTAAGAAAGAATGACGGCTATCAAGCCGTAAAGAATCTTACATAAGTTACCATTTAATCAGAGTATATTATCAGAATAAACTACAGCCTACACAGTTTTTCTGCCTTTCTCATTATGACCACCAGCAAATCCATAGTGGATACCTCATTAATGTACTCTTTTGTAAAAACATTAAGCCAGGTTCAAAGGAAAAAAGAAATATTCTTGTCCTTAATAATCATCAATTAAAATAACGCTATAGCCATGAACATCTGAGTGCTTAGTATGTGACAGGTACTGTGTGCCGCTCTGTACATGCAATATCTCGTTTACTACTTTTTTTTTTTTCCTGAGACAAAGTCTTGCTCTGTCACCCAGGCTGGAGTGCAGTGGCACCATCCTGGCTCACCGCAACTTCCACCTGTCAGATTCAAGCTATTCTCTTCTTGCCTCAGCCTCCCAAAGTGTTGGGATTACAGGCATGAGCCACTGCATCTGGCATCATCTACTTGTTATAATAAGCATATGGAGTAGGCACTATAATTATATTCATTTAATAAATATGAAAATTGAGGCTTGGAGAGATTGACTTGCCCAAAATCTCACAAATAATACCAGGATTGGAACCCAGGACATTTTACTCGAGAATCCACTTTCTTAGCTTTACCCCTCCTCAAGGTATCTCACATACGTATTTCTTTGGAAGAACAGTAGGACAATTAAGTGCTTAATTCCCAAGGAAGAAGGATCACCAGGACCCTTAGCTAAAAAAATTTGATAAATTTTAATCACTTCACTCAAATAATCAGGTCAACAATACTAGGGCCTCTTCTTCTTTCTATCATACCACATACCTAACAATTTATAAGTAACTAAGGACCTAGGGAAAGAACTCTAGTTACTAATCTTGTACTAAAGTTTTTCTCAGCTGAATCTGTTTTTTGTTTTTTACTTTTTATTTTGAGACAGAGCCTCACTCTGTCACTAAGCTGGAGTGCAGTGGTGCAATCTTGGCTCACTACAACCTCTGCCTCCTGGGTTTAAGTGATTCTCCTGCCTCAGCCTCCTGAGTAGCTGGGACTACAGGAGTGTGCCACCATGCCCAGCTAATTTTAATATTTTTAGTAGAGACGGGGTTTTGCCACGTTGGCCAGGCTGGTCTCCATCTCTCAACCTCATGATCTGCCTGCCTCAGCCTCCCAAAGTGCTGGGATTACAGGCATGAACCACCACACCTGGCAGCTGAATCTGTTTCTAATTTTGCCTAATTGGCTATTCCATTTGTTAAGATGTAATAAAAGAATAAGGGGCCAGGCGCGGTGGCTCATGTCTATAATACCAGCACTTTAGGAGGCAGAGGTGGGCAGATCACCTGAGGTCAGGAGTTTGAGACCAGCCTAACCAACATGGAGAAACCCCATCTCTACTAATTAAAAAAAAAAAAAAAATACCCGGGAGTGATGGTGCATGCCTGTAATCCCAGCTACTCAGGAGGCTGAGGCAGGAGAATTGCTTGAACCTAGGAGGCAGAGGTTGCACTGAGCCAAGATCCTGCCACTACACTCCAGCCTGGGCAACAAAAGTGAACTCCATCTCAAAAATAAAAGAATACAGAAGGTTTCCAACAAACATTAAGTCCCACCACATTTTTTACTAACAAAGTAAAAGGAGAAAGTTTTCTTGACTTTTGTCTACTACCACTAAGATGAAGCGAATACAGGACATAAATGGATATTTCAAATTGAGAACCTCTAGAATGCTCTAGTTGATATATTCTTCACCAAGTCTCCTGGCCAAGTAGGAAACAGTTTGCAGGAAAATAAATGAAACATACCTTCTTGTGGAGAGGCAAGACTACACTAGACCAATATCTTGTTAAACTACCACTATAAACTTTTTTCCATTCAATTTAGCACTAGCAGTACTCCAGCAAGTTCAAATCACAGAGGAGGTATGACTTTTGAAACCCAGACATTATATCAGCACAAACCCTGAGGCCATGCCCTCCGCCAACATATGTCCACTTGTAATGTGCAGGCCAGTTTTGCTCCTCCTGGTTCTTTATTTTGCCATATCCTGAAATGGGAAGTTTGGTTTCTCCATGAGTCACGTGCCTCGCTCCCACCTTTTTAGAGACAGGGCCTTACTCTGTTGCCATGCTGGAGTACAGTAGCATGATCACGGCTCATTGTAATATTGAATTCCTGGGCTCAGGTGATCCTCCTACCTTAGTCTCCTGAGTTGCTAGGGCTACAGGTATATGCCATGCCTGGCAATTTTTTTTTTTTTTTAATAGAGACAGGGTCTTGCTATGTTGCCCAGGCTGGTTTCAAACTCCTGGACTCAAGCAATCCTTTCAACTTGCCTCCCAAAGTGCTGGGATTACAAGCATGAGCCACCACACCCAGCCTAGCTTCCCTTTTTAATAAGATCTTTGGTGCCTCTTCTGGAGATACAGGCAGAGCATCTGTTCCAAACCCATCAGGGGTTCCAGGGGAAAAACAAAACAAAACAATATATCTTTCCCTCACCCTCCGCAAATAGCCTGCCCTTCCCTCCCCACCCAGCACCCCTCAGCTCCTCTCCTAAAGCCTCTTTCCTCCTTTCCCTGTAGGGAAAGTGCACAACTGGGCCCAGTAAATCAACACCGTTCTAATGATCTCTCTCTCACTTGACCCTTCTAGCGTGACGGTGTCGCATGGAAACAAATGTACAATAAACTTCACTCCATATTTAGATTCTTGCCGACAGGTTTTGATTCATAGGATGGTGAGACCCATCTGAGGGAAATTACCTCAATCAAAACACATGTCTCTCTGCATTCATCGGCCAATGCTCCCTCAGGCCATGCTCAAGTGCACAAATAGGGTTGTGGCATCTGCAAGCAGCAGTGACCCCTCTAGCTCAGTGCCACATGCATTTGCAAACCTTTCCCTTCTTCATCCCTCCCCCACTACCCTCCCTCGAAACCCTCAACTACTAACAAATCTCTTTTTTCTTCCCATGCATACTGTGTGAGAAGAGAAGTGCTTGAATCTGAAGTGCCCTTATTTCCTATCAAATGTATACTCCTAAAAACATATAACTTGCATCCAAAATCAGGAGAAAACTATCCTCACTGGCCAAACACAGGCATTGGACGTTCAGATTAATCCATATATTTCAATTCCTCCCTCTTCTTCCTTTTCAAGATTTAAAACACCAAGCCAACCAACTGACTGATGCCAGTAATTTCAGCATATACAACCCTCATGGCGCCTACTACCTGCCTTGTTCACTTTTCTTAAGATTTCATTTATAAAGATGAGAAAGAATTATGCAAAAGAGAAGAAAGTACCTATACAAGAATAGAAAGCATAGTGTGTATATATACCTTTCTTTCTTTTTTTTTGAGACAGGGTCTCACTCTGTCACCCAGGCTGGAGTGTAGTGGCTCGATGTTGACTCACTACAACCTCCACCTCCCAAGCTCAAGGGAGCTTCTCACCTCAGCCTCCCAAGTAGCATAGGTGGGACCACCACGCCCAGCTAATTTTTGTGTTTTTTTGTAGAGAGAGGGTTTCACTATGTTGCCCAGACTGGTCTTGAACTCCTAAGCTCATGCAATCCACCTGTTTCTGCCTCCCAGCCTCTACCTCCCAAAGTGCTGGGATTATAGGAATGAGCCACCATGCCTAGCCCTGGGTTTATATTTAATAAAACCAAATACCCTTACTATCATTGTATTTTCCATTATAGAATACAGTTCCAAATTTAGCCCTTGAAAATAATACCTGAAAGAGAAAAGACAGACATTCAAGCCTGCTCCAAGATATAAATTACACATGTAAAGAGTACTCTGCACACAGGAACTATAAAATATATTCAATAAATTTTAGCTATTATTTTTATTGCTGTATTT